GAACTCTCTGCCCGTCCTGTCACGGCTATGGAGGCCGTTTGTGAGCTCTTTGCCTGTCCTGTCACGGCTATGAAGGCCATCTGTGAACTCTCTGCCCGTCCTGTCACGACTATGGAGGCCGTCTGTGAACTCACTGCCCATACTGTCACGGCTATAGAGGCCGTTTGCGAACTCTCTGCTCGTCCTGTCACGGCTATGTCTTGTTTTCCTTGTTTTCTTCGTCTTGCCTTGTCTGTTTCCCCATGTTCTGATCACTGCCTGTGTACCTGGATTATCCCTCGAGTCTCGTCCAATTGGATACTGTTCGCCCCTGCCTGGACCTTTGCCTTGTACCTGGATTATCCCTCTTGCCTTGCCATCAATATAACTGTTTGCCATTTTCGGACCTATGCCTGTTTTTGACCACGTCTCTGCTAATAAAGTTTTGCAGATGGATCCGCACGCTTCCTGTGTTCCCTCCGTAACAATATTGTCATAATAATAATAATAATACATGTGTTTTTACAGTAGTCTAAGTTTAATTAAGTTATAAATGTGATTTATTGTCATTTAAATGTTAATTTATTTAATATTCATGTGTTATAATTGTGTCAAAAAACTGAAATAAAACTATAAATATCTGTTTTTGGATTGGGCACTTAAGCATTAAAATAATCAATATCAGTATTGGTTATAAAAAGAGTATCTGTCAATCTCAAGGAAACACCACAAAACATTTATTTTAATGTAAAACATCAACTACCAGACCAAAATAATTTAGAAAAACAAATCAGATTTTTTGGCATGATTTGGAAAAAGCAAAATAGTTGGATGACACGACGCAGAAATTGACCATGAAGGAGATCTCACAGGTGAAAGAAATCCTTTCAATAGAAGCATTTTAAAGGAAACACACTTTCCACCACAAGAATCTCAAAAATCTGCCACTGACAGTTTTATCACATTGTTGTGGTACTACATCATGCTGCAAATTAGTTTATGAGCACTTTTCTTTAGAAACCTCTGGTGAAGGTATGCATATGA